ACCGCTCTCATATGCAACATTTGGTCTATACGGGGGTTACTCAAACTTACTATCCTAAGGATTGTCGGTGTTTTATAATCCGGACTAGTAAATTTATATGATCGTCGTGCTGCTATAGGAAGACGATGGTAGCATCTAAAAGACACGAGGATTTATACTGGTTCAGGCCGGAGCCCTACATTCAGTCTCAGAGATGATCGAGTGACGGTTTGTGGAGATGTGTCGAACGCTTGCTTGCTGCACTCCTTGTTGTTCAATTGAATGCACTACACCCTCTCCCTCCTGTTGCTTGCTACTGCACCGCATGCACTTGCTCAGCAGCCTGCCACTTGCACAGCCGCTCACGAGAGCACACTCGGCGCACAACACACCAGCAGCGGCAGCCTTTGACTCAATAGCCATGCATGCAACGTGTGAGCAGTGACTAGTGAGCAGCCAACCTCAGCGACCTCCACCGCCCACTCCACCGCGTTCTGAATCCGTGCTCGGCGTCATGTATTCTGGCGCCGAGGTACCGGCCACGTCAACGCCACCTAGGATGTCCTGCTATGCACGGCCAGGCAGCTCGGAGCCAAAATCTTTGGCGCCGAGACGTGTTACCTTGGTGCCATGAGTCCTGGCGCTGACCCAGGATCTAAAGATGAGTTTAAGTCTCTCAGAGAGTCAAACGTAAATTTTTTTTAAAAAAAAACAAATTATAAAAAATTAGGTCGGGCCGGGCGGTCATGAGACGGTGGTCCACGAGTAGGCGATTGCTTTCCCAAGAAGATCACGCGAGGGTAGACGGAGTTAATTTAGACTGCTCTTGTATTCTTCTTCTCTATTAGAACATCTCCTAAGATAAATGTTCCTAGTGATACCTTCAGCTGGTTGTATGATCTCTCACTAAAAAAATCCAGATCTAGGATTCGTTGAATCGTTGTTAACGGGGACTGGGGACTTGGGTGCTTGGGAAGGAGGGAGTTTCTTATCTTGTATTTCAGTTGGATTCCTATCACAAGTTGGGCCTCTGAGTAAACAGTAAAGCTGGACTAATTGAGCATTCTGTTCCACTTCAGGTGTGCAGAGGAGCATGTGAAGGGCATGTTCGCTTGAACTTATCAGCTAGAATCTATAGTATTTTTCTCTCATAACAAAACAGCTTCAGCCGGCTTTAATACCAGCCGAACAGGCCTGAAGTCTGTGCAAGAGCCCCAAGCTGCCATCACCACCACTTCCTCTGTGTCACGGGTTTTGGCCCGGATAGAGTTTGAATGGGGACGCACAATTTACATCAGGCAAGACCTTCAGGGAACTTTTCATACATGTCCTCATCTGGGTGGGCCATATCAGAGTTTACAGGAAGCTGACCAGGCTATTGATCGCCATCTTCACAGCCTCCTAGATCCAAAAATGTAAAGTTCCTCAACTGTGTTATATATTCTCATTGGTTGTATGCACTGTCTGCAGTTGATTATATTCAAACTAGGCTACATGGCCATGCATGCTTCTATGTGTAGATCACGGAAGATAAGCACAGTTTTTTACAATATGATTAGGAAAAGAATTAATGGTAACTACGATCCTCTGCTGATTTTTTTTCTTTTAGACAAAAAAAAAGATGAGCTGCGTGTAGTGTTTAGATTGCTGTCTTGGGACTCACTTAAAGCTAATGAAACATCTTTGTAACTGTTTTTATCGGAGAATTTTATAGATAGTGCGCAAATCATTAACATAGCTAAGGGGTTAAAAGGTACATATAAATGCTATGACAATGGCCTTCTTTACATAGCTTTCTTGTTGGTTGTTTTATCCCATTCGGTATGCTCCCACTGCGGTTGATTATATTCATTCAATCAGGGCTACCTGGCCATGCTTCTATGGTTGGCCATGGAAGATAATCACAGTTTTTTTTATATGATTAGGAAAGCAATGAATGGTCCAGAGTCCAACATTGGACTACTGATAAGCTGATGGGTTGAATTGTTTTTTTAAAGAAGAGCATCATGCACAGTGTTCAAAGCTGTCTTGGGACCACAAAGTTAACAAACTTTGTAACTATTTTTGTTGGGTCATTTTTGACATAGTGCACAAATCATTAGCATAGCTAAAATCTTAACAGTACATATAGATGGTAGTTGGGCTTTAGAACAGTAGTAAATGATTTCAAGCAAGCCTGTTTTGTGAGGTTTGCCTGGTTGGCTGAACCCTGTGTGTTCAGACTTCAGAGGCACTAGCGTTTGCTTTCGTTTCTCTGTGTCGTTGTAGGCCCAAAACTAACTATTGTAATTTCATTGCTGTGTGGTAATGTAATTTGGTATGCTGTTGTAGAAAAAAAAAACATGTAGATGCTATGGCAGTACTTTTTTATATAGCATTTATTTTTATCATTTGTATTGTAATTTGTATGATTGTTTAGTTTGCTTTTCAGTCAGGCGCACCTGCTCAACTCTGTTTATGCATGTACTGCAGTAAACAACAATAGTGATAGATGAACCTGTGATCTGAAAATGATCCAAGGGATTTTGTCACAGTACTGTTTCCTTTTTTTATTACAACCATGTTGATCAAAGTACTGTCTACTGATCATCTATGATGATTTAATCTAAATGCTAGGTTCAGGCAGCAAAGTGATACTTCTACATTGGATTTAGTCATACGGCGAGATCTTTACTGACCTGATGGCACAAGTAAGCGTTCAAAATCACGTGCAAAGCAAAAAGGCCGTGACCAAATGCGCCAAATGGCTCAAGCTTTAGTGGACAAGTATAATGAGGATCACCATCTTTTGGGGGTTTGCTCTCTTCCCCTCCCACCATCTGCCTATTGAGTAGTGTACCTGTGTGTCTTGTTTTCTTATTCATGGAACTTTTGCTAAACCTGATCTATACTTGTTTTAGGATCTCGCATATGAACTCAAAGATGTTTTGAACTTCAACTCAATTTCTGAGCACCAGTCATGCTACTATCGTCTCAATTTCAGTACAAATTCTAAAGCAGCCAATGATTCAGAGAGCGGCACCAGCAATATATTCTTTGCAGAAGTCAAACTTTTTAATCAAGGGAAACATACAGAATTGCTTATCTGCTGTTTCTGCACAGTCGATACAATCAATAATGGTATTACGTACTCTCTTATCCTAAAGTTAAGTATTATTGTGATACATTTTGTGGCTCGCTCTGTATAGACCTGCTTGTTTTTTGCCCTTTTTGTTTCTTCTATATCTCTGATTCATGTACTATTTTTCTTTGAGCTTTACTATTTGTAATGTCTTAGCTGTTTCATGCATAGCAATGACTGCATTTTTCCTTTGGTTGCTCATCTCTTAATTGTGTTTAGCCTGTTTGGTTACTTGGCAATTAACTCTTTTTTGTTGTTGTTGATAAAGGTCAACCCTGCGAGGCTTGTAACAATCCTGACAAGTTTGATATAAAGCACCCTGATAGTTCTGTTGAATTAGCTGCTGGTCACTTGGATCCGCGCACTCAATTTAGTGGATTTATGAGAGAGAGAGAGATTTCCATGACTCTGAAGATGAAGATAGATATGTACGATATGATTTATCTCTTTGGCAAGAATTAATGCGCTTTGTTGCTTCAGTACTAATTGTTCATGTTTCCCTGACAGTTGAGAGATGCTGAGGCTGAGCTAAGACGAGTCTACAAGGTATAATATGTCCTGTGCTATTTTCTTGTACAATACCATTTGCATTGACTTGTGACATGATATTGGTTACCTGAGCCAATTATAATTTCTTGCTAATGTATTTAGGGCCTTGATGATCCACGTGTTATTGAGAGGCTATTCACGCTCCCTCCTGGCGTAACTATTGTGCAAGACTAAAAGGGAGATATATATGGAGTGAAAGACCAGAAGGGCACTGGAGTTAAACATCAGCCGAGCCATTATGTTAATGGTCATATAAATGCAAGACCCAGCTTGTAATTTCGTGAAGGCTAATACATCTTGGGGATAGCAATAACAAATTGTTCCCTCAAAACAAAAAATTGTTTGGTCTGAGATACCGAGACTGACTAGTGACCTATTTGTAATATGCCAAATTACATCTTGCTTGTCTATACAAGCTCACTCTTGTTAGATTACAGGAACACGTTTATGATGAGGCTGTGATTAGCCTTGCTATCGTAGTGCCCTCGGGCTCAGCGCATGAATCCTAACTTTTGCGCTCCTTTGTTGTTTGTGTCATGCTGTGGCTCGTCCTCGGTGATCCTTGCGGACCGTCAGACCATCTTGACCTTGGCAGTGCACTGAGAAATCCTGTCCACCAACCACGTGTGATACGGTAAAAGATGAACCAGGGCAGGCCATGTTTAGCCATGGACAATTGAGCTCTACAGGTTAGAGATGTATCAATGTAGTAGACCATAGTCCATATACCACTGCACACTGCAGCAGGCTAGAGATGTACCAATGTATACCATAGTCCATATAGCCACTGCACACTGCAGTAAGATGCTGCTGGATCACCGTCTGCATAGAATTCGTGAGGCAATTCGTTACTTATTAGTTAACAGTTGCTCCCTATCGTTGAGCACGTTTGAGTTAAGTAATAGCACCATTGTTTTTGGATAACAATCACTTGCAGGTGGCGCCCTGCGTAAAGCACGTAAATATTGAGTGTATTGATCATCCTATTCCTATGCAAAGGCTCTGGGTTTTCTTGCATGTGATGGTTTTCTTGCATGTGATGGTTCATACCTCTCTACTTTTTATAGGGCAAACGCAAACGTATCTTTATTGATTATTAAGAGGACAAGTTGCAGTTAGGTTCTACTAGATGGACAATACAATTAGGTATTTGGCTTAATCAAACAGCTGATGCATCTCCACTTTCTGAAGAACACGCATCACCTCCTTACCTTCATTGACATGCATATGCATGAAAGGTAATCTCAGATCATCCCTATTTTGAAGTATTCAGAGCATTCGCCACTCAGAGAGCAATCTGATTCAATGATCACCGGAAAATGCACCCATTGTGATACAACGCGAAGTCCTCCTATACATGCTCAGCTTTCAGCTTCTGCAGGACTTGACCAGTTGAATAAAACATGCCATGCTGAAAAGCATACAGCACCTGCCAAAATACCAATTCCAGCATCTCCAGTTTGCTCGACAAATTAACCTTGAAGTGCTTCTCTCTGATACACCTGCATTGCAATTTATATCAGCTATATATTCCATGAAAAGAAAGTTTGCATCAGCTACTTGTTAGTTACACATAACCGCCACCTAGGATGACATGAATGCCAGCATTGCAGAGAATTGTATGGAGTGTATCACTGCAGGGTTACATGATCCTACTGAATTATAGAATATTCATTTCAAGTAACTCGAAGAAGCCATTCTAACATGAAGACAATCTGCAAGGGGACTAATCAACTAACAATTCCATTTACTTCAAAATAATTCCATTATCTAGATCATAAAAATGCTTATGTACGTATGGAAGGAGGTCTTCTCACATAAGAATAAAGCAGGCTAAATATCAGCTTTCCTAAGTTATATCTGAGAAATATTCAATATACTCTAGTTCTATTTGTATAATTACCTATGTACATTGTCAAACAAAAAGGGACAAGGGTAATAATCAAGATAGGACGCCAGAATAAATTAAATAGCTTGGTAGCCATTAGAAGCAAAGCAAAATAGTAATGCGGTGCATTTCCAGCCATGTACCTCTTGTCCACTGACATCCAAAGCTGCACAGTCACAATTGGTGCTATGCCTCCACTAGCTTCAATTGTTAGTACAACTTCCAGCATGACCAATCTTTTGTCAGCACGTAGTCATTTACTCTGGGCCCTAATGGTAACCTCCTTCAATTCTTACCAATATGACCAGGCTCAGACCTTCACGGCTAAATGAAAGCACAAAGGCCAGTTAATCTACCAGTGAAGGCCCATGAAACTTGCTACTACATGCTAACATTCATTGACAGAACAAAAACCTCAACTGATGAGGGCATGATGCATCCACATCCCTTTAGCCAGAAAGTGTTTGTGCTTCTACGTTCTCTAGTACAGTGCAAATTTCACCATACTGAGGATGCTGAAAACTACCAGCAACAAACTCATGCACCTCTCCATCAAGCTCAATTGAGCTACACCCTGGTGTTTTCTTCATCTGTAAGCTGTTCATCTCCCTCCTCTCCCTGGCTAGACTGCTCCAGTCCTGCGCTTTTGCATACAAGCTGGACAGCATCACCTTTGCCCAGGGGTCATCTGGATCTAACCTGGTGAGTTCAGCTGCTGCAATCTCGCCAAGCTCCACGTTGCTGTGAACTTTGCATGCATTCAAGAATGCGCCCCAGATTACTGCATTAGGCTTCATCCGCATGGTCCTGATAATGCTGTATGCTTCTTCCAATCGCCCAACACGACCAAGAAGATCGATGACACATCCATAGTGTTCAATTTTGGGTGTGATTGCATACTTCTCTAAGGAGTAGAAGTGGCGAAGGCCTTCATCTACAAGTCCACCATGTGCGCAAGCATTAAGGACCCCAACAAGAGTAACATCATCTGGTCGTATACCATTGTCTTGCATCATGCCAAACATTCTTAGAGCATCAGCAGCCTTACCGTGCATTGCCAGTCCACAAATCACGGTCGTCCATGAGTACAGATCCCTCTTCCCAGGTGCCTTTTCAAACACCTGAAGGGCCTTTTCAATGCTTCCACACTTGGCGTACATATCTATCAAGGACCGATCCAATGAGCCATTGTCATTCATGCGATTCCTGTCAATGTACGCATGGACCCAAATCCCAGTCTCTAAACAACCTGCACCCGCGCAAGCAGCAAGGACAGTGCTCATTGTAGGTCCATTTGGATGCACTGGACAAGAAGATGGCGATATCATCTGACGGAACAGTTCTAGGGCCTCCATACATCGGCCAACGAGGCAGTACCCAGCAATCACCGTGTTCCATGACACTACATCCCTCCTTGGCATTGCAAGGAACAGCTCGTAGGCATTGTCAATATTACTATGCCTGATATACTGATGCACCATGGCATTCCACGAAACTGTGCTCCTCACCGGCATCGCATCAAACAACCTCCGGGAGACAGACAGCTCGCCGTACTCTCCGTACACCCTGATCAGCTCAGTGGAGACAAACACATCTGGGACAATGCCGCTTGTCACAATGACGGCATGCACCATCATCCCAGGTCTCCTGGCCGCCGCCATCCCCGCTGCGGGGAACGAGCCTGCCCCATGGCAGGCCGCGAGAGCGACCGCCAGGGCCACGTTGTCAGGGAGGACGCCATCCGTGAGCATGTCCCCGAACACGGCGAGCGCCTGGGCCCCCTGACCGGACGCCGCGTGCGCGCGCGCCATGGCCGTGCGGGTGACGAGGCCCGGGTCGGGCATCTCGTCGAATAGGTCCCGCGCGTGGCGCGGCCTCCCGAGCGCTGCGTAGGCCGAGAGCAGCGCCGTGGGGAGGTGCGCCCCGGCGTGGAGGAGCCCTTCCTTGAAGAGGAGGCCGTGGATCGCCGCGGCCGCGAGGTGGGCCCTCGGCCCCGCCGCCGGCGAGAGCGACTTGATGAGGCGGAGGAGCGCGGTGGAGGAGAGCGTGAGGGGGTGCATGGGCGATGGCGCGATGCGATGCCACCGGCTGCAGGCCTCGCTGTGGTGTGGGCCTGTGGCTCCAAGAAGAATTCTTCGAGGAGATCGGATAGACTGATATGGATCAATTACAGCTGGGCCACGAATGGACTAGCCGTCTCACAAGTGGGCTGTGGGCCTTGGGCTTGGCCGTGCTCGCGCAGTTCGTGCAGTGCAATGGCCCGCCTGTCAGCGACATATGTGTGGGGCCAGTGCTGTTTCGATCCCAATGGCCACGGCAGCCCGGCAGGGCCGCAGTGCTGACTTCACGGCGGGCACGGCAGGCGCGTTGGACGGTTCCGACCTGATCGTGTCGACGACTCACGATCACGAGACTTGTGATCGCAGCAGCCATCAGATGGCACGAGAGCCGACACGATCTTCTGAAGCAAACGGGGACCAGGTCGGCAGGCGTGCGTGCGGCGCAACGCAAGCCACTGACGGCGTACGTGCAGAACGATAGGCTGCACTGCAGGCCGGATGCTGTCCACGGGTCACCGGCGACTCGGACATTCCGTGACGACTGGCAGGAGGGGCACAAGGCGCACCGCTTGGCATCTGAATGCGAGAATTTTAGCCGAGAAACTGAGGAAATTGGATCGGAGAAATTATTTTTGGGGACTGCTACTCCTAGGAGCACATGTAGAGCTTGTAAGCCTTGTACATTCCAGTTTCCAACAGAACGAACTAGAATACACATAACCTGACGACTGGTGACCGGTGCCGGTGACACAACTAACAGATTTGCCCAATGCTCATACAAATTACAAAATCATGTCACAGAACCAGCACGAGTAGATGTCCTGTAATTGAGCTCGACATTAGTCTAAGCTTCATGTGCCTTGTTTGGGTTGCTTCATTGGTCGACAGAGTGTTCTTGTTGAGTTCTGAGTTCTTGAATGCCATCGACCATGAGACGATCAGGATGTGATGCTAATTCTTAGTCAACATGTCAGCATAGGAGTCAAGATGTCAGGATATGCTTAGCTCAATTCCGAAGCGGATGGCATTTTGTGCGATCCGATTCAAGAAACCTTGCGGCCGGGAAGCTCGGGGAGCATCGTTTGGATCCTCTTGAGCTCGGCCAGCACCTCCCGGGCGTCAGGCCGGTCGTCCTTGTCCGGCGCCACGCACCGGAACGCCAGCTCCGCCACTGCCTCGACACTCGCCATCACGGCGGGGCCCTCGCCCAGCACCGGCGGGTCGACGACCTCCCTGAGCTCGCCGACCTGGATCTTGGACACCACCCAGTCCGCCAGCGTCACGTCCCGCCGCTCCCTGCCCACGTCCACGGGCCTCAGCCCCGTGACGAGCTCCAGCACCACGACGCCGAAGCTGTACACGTCGCTCTTCTCCGTGAGCTGGAACGAGCGGTGGTAGTCCGGGTCCAGGTAGCCCGGCGTCCCCTGCGGCCCGGTGCAGCACACGAGCTCGCGGGCGCCCCCCGTGGCGCAGGCGTCCGGCGGCGCGAGGAGGCGGGAGAGGCCGAAGTCGCCGAGGCGTGCCCGCATGTCGGCCTCCACGAAGATGTTGGACGAGGTGACGTCGCGGTGCACGACGGCGGGCTTGACGCCGAAGTGGAGGTACTCGAGCGCCGACGCGATCTGGGCGGCCATCGCGAGGCGGGTCCGCCAGGGGAGCGGCGGGGGCGGCGGCGCGGCGCCACCAGGGCCGCCGACGCGGCGGTGGAGGTGGTGCGAGAGCGTGCCGTTTGGGACGAAGTCGTAGACGAGGAGGAGCGCGCGCGGGTCGGCGCAGAAGCCGTGGAGGCGGACGAGGTGCGGGTGGCGGAGCGCGGAGAGGATGAGCACCTCGTTGCAGAAGGACTTGGTGATGGTGGCGGAGGTGGAGGGGAACGACGGTGACGGGGACGGCGGGACGTGGAGGCGCTTGACGGCGGCGGGGCGGCCGGCGGGCGGGAGGTACGCGAGGAACACCGTCCCGAAGCCGCCGTCGCCGAGCTTGCGCGCCGCGTCGAAGCCCGCGGTGGCGGCGCGCAGCTGCTCGTAGGTGAAGGACGGGCGATGGTGGTGGAGCCCGTGCCGGCGGAGGAACGCCGCGGCGCGGGACGCCGCCGGCGGCTCCCGCGCCACCGCGCCGCGGGAGCGGAACCGGCGCACCGCGATGGCGGCGCAGAGGTAGAGCAGGAGCAGCGCGAGGAGCGACGCGGCGGCGGCGAGCGCCACGGTGGCCACGTTGGTGCCGCTGCCGTGCTGCTGCTGCTGCTGCCGCGGCGGCGGCGGGGGCGTGTGGATGTGCCGGCACGCGGCCGGCGGCGGGAGGCAGGCGGCGGCGAGGAGGAGGAGGCGGAGGAGATGCGGTCGCATTTCGGCGCGGCGAGTAGGCGATCTAGGCCCGCACGGGCGAGAAGCGTCGTCAGCGAGATGCGCGAGAAGAGGGAGGGAGAGATGTCCGATGCCGAGACGCGGCCGCGCAAGGCTACAACTCCAGCTCCACTAGGCAGCGTGTGCGACACCTCTCGCTTTCACATCTGTCCCGTTGGTTTGGCTGATAAAGTCACGGCTGGAAGGATCATTAACTGATTTATTATGAGAAAAAATATTATTTATTAGATGAAAAAATACGGCTTATAAACCCAACGAATAAGACGATCATCACATGACCGACGGGCCAGGCATGTTCGGCTGGCTGGCTGGTGCTGGCCGGACCACTCACGCGGGCACGGTTTATATGAACAGTGTCTTTCAATCAGAACAGTATTTTACTCTCACAACAACCTAGTCGGAATAATATTTTAACTTATTCAACCAGCCTGCCGAACAAGTGGAATGCTCAAAACACCTCCCACAACACTAATCCAAATAAACCGTTTTTGGATGGATTTTCAGTAAAACTCTCGTGAAATTAACTGGGGTTTCTCAAAAAATAAAATGGTTTCGTTGTAGCAAATGCGGCTTTGTTCATTTCGCTAAAATTTAATTTATACTGATGCTTATACTGATTTGCTGTGAGAGAAAAATACGATTCGTTCGCTGAAAAGTACTGCTGAAGTAGTGCCGCAGAACAGGACGGATATAATCATTTGAAGTCGGCTAAAATGGTGACATCACAACTTCACCAAATTAGTTCACCTTCGTTAATTGGTTTGAGCTACGAGCGTATCCCGCGTGAACCAGCGTTTAGTTAGAAATTGAAATGATGAATTAATTACAAACATATCTACGGTCGCCAATCCATATCTTTTGAGAGTTCCTCGTTGACTCTAATTAAAGGACTTGCGTCCTAAAACAATTTGTGCTAGCATCAATTATATTATTATTATATGGTGCACCTAACTTATTTGTTGTGCGCCTAACTTAAACCAGCGTATCCGGCATGTTAACGGAAAAAAAAATATGAAAGCACTACCATTTAATACCTGTATAAAAAGGTATTCCCTCCGTACTAAAAAAAATGATGTTGTTTTGGACAAGGCTTGGGTCAAACATTGATAATATAAATCATAAATAACTTTTAAGTTGTTGAGTTTAGAAATGTGAAAACCATATGTATAGATTTGTCATGAAAAATACATTCACAAAAATTTACATATATCACTTTCTGATAAATATTTTTATAAAAATAAGTAGTCAAAGTTATGCTTTAGAGACTGTATCGCTGTCCAAAACGACTTTATTTTCTAGTACGGAGGGAGTATGAGTTTTCAAGTTTCAAAAGGCATGAGTTTTCAAGAAACACTAGTTTAATTCTACCGCAGAATTCTTTTTACACAGCCGGCAAGGAATTTACTCCCCTCATCGTCGTTGATTGGGCAAGAGCCGAGAGGGGTCACTGATGTGGACAGTTAAGAGAAAAGCCAGCCGATTAGGGTGCTTAGGGTCAACTCTTGGGCTCTAACTCGGCGAGGCAGGCGGCATCCATTGCCGTATAGTGGGCAGCGCAATACAGCATCATCCAGCGCAGCCAGACAGGGGCGGCAAGTCGGCAACGCAAAGGCGGGCGGGGCGGTGCGTGACGTGACCGTATTTGCCGTCGCCCGCTTTAGGCGCCTCCGCATGCATGTTCGCCGACGGCGACCGCAGCCATGATTTTATACGGCGACTTGCTTGGGCGTTGGCGAGACGCGACGGGCGTGTGCGGGCGCTGCTGGTGTGCAATTATCGCCCGACGCGGATTAGTGGGTGATTAGCTGTTGTGGAGGTCAAATCGTCAGAAATGCTTTGTTAATGGCACTGCTAGTAGTAGAAGATGCAGCCTATTGGGCTAGGATGAAATAATCGTATACGATCATAGATTATTACTTCTGACTAATTTAATTTAATGTGAGAGAAAAATCCTACCGACTGGAATTTCCGATCGTTTAGGACCGGTGGATACGAAAGGCAGAGGCGCTCTCACCGGACAAAGCCTGCTCCATGGATGGCTTATTTATGGCGCTCCGTGCCAAAGCTTTCTTTGACTGGGACTGATGCTCCGGTGGCATGTTGCGTTGACGGGCTCGAGCCTCTAGGTCCAGGTCCAGCGCAAGCTAACAGTGCTAAAATTTTGTCGACAGATCTTGTTTTATTTTGGAGAAACGAAAAAAAATCAAAAATTTATAGGCCGAGAGCATTTCTGTTCAGATTAGTTACCACAAGTGCGCTCTGACGGATTGATTATTATACCAGGTGTCCGGTCTTTCGTAGCAGCAGCAGCCGCTGTTAAAATCTGGGCGTGCTTCGCACATGGCAAATGTGCCTGAAGACTGCAGTTCTTTTGACGCACAGCACAGTGATGAAAGGGAAAAGGGAAGAGAGGAGGAAGAGAACGGAAAGCAAAGGCGGGCGCCGGGCGGCACACACTTTAGGACGACGCGGATTCAGTTATCCGCCTCGGTGGCAGAAGCTAAAGAGCAAGGCCCCGACACCGATTCCATCTGGGAGTTGGCATTGGAACACCGACAACCACAAGATGCGATAGAGATCTCTGCATCTGCTGTTTCCGTTGGGAGACTGGCTACAAGTTGGTGTCCGAACACCTTCATCGTCAGGAATTCTCTAGGTTCAAAGATTCTGGGCACGTGGCAATGTCAATGCCTAGAATTGGTGCCGATGCAGAACCGTCTGCATATCCCATCCATCGTCAGAAAGCGCCTCCATTGCATTCCTCAAAGTGGACGATGCATCCGATCCGCATGCTAAAGGCATGATCCTAGTAGACATACTAGATTTTTTTTTTTTTAACCCTTTTTTTAATATAATTTTAAATCTAACGCTGTCGGTTTTTAAAAAAACTAACACTTTTGGCCGCGGCTATTGCACTGCGCGTGGCCAAATGCCTGTGACACGCCATGCATGGTGGCGCGGCAGAGAGCTAACATGGCGAGGGCCGGGCTGGGGGACCGCTGACGTGGCAGATCCTGCCGCGCCACCGACCTTGGCGCGGCAGGACCATATATATATACCATGCACTGCGGATCGGTAGCGCGCAATCTGTCGCGCGCAAAAAGTCGGTGGCGCGGCGAGGCGCCACGTCGGTGCGGTCCCCTAGGCCGCCCTCGCCACGTCGACCCTCTGCCGCCACCATGCATGGTGCGACACGAGCATTTGGCGCGCGCCGCGGCAATAAACCACGGTCAAAAGTGTGCATTTGGTCAGCCAGAAGCAATAAACGCAGTCAAAAGTGTTAGTTAAAAAAAACCCGACAGTGTTAGATTTAAAATTATATTAAAAAATGGTTAAAATTAAAAAAAAATCACATACTACCCCCCGTGACGTTTTTCAGCGTCTCATTGTAGCCTGTACGAGTATAATATATGTCCATATATATACACCATATCGACCTATCACGACTTCCTGAGTTCCTGTACATCATAGAAAATATAGGATGGGCCTCTTTTTACATGTACACGAATGAGGTTTACGGTAGGTTGCTTCTGATACCCGGTGTGTAACTGCACAGCCGGCATGACTTGATCCAATGATGTACGGGCTTCAGGCGAGATGCACGATCCACCAAAACTCAAGGCCCTGTCTTTGCCAAACGGTTGTGATTTATGAACCATATGGCCATGGAAATGATTTAGCCACTGAAATCCACAACAAATAAAGCAGAATGGTCAGTTGGCGAGTTGTGGCAAGAACTATATCAGTGAAGGATTCTAACAAGCAGCTGCACGCTGAACCAAACAGAAATCCACTGACAATTTTAATAGTGATGACTCAAAACATCGGCCTGTTCGCTTCACTGAAAAAATAAACCGAAACACTGTTTCCGGTTGATTTGTTGTGAAAGAAAAACAATGTTCCGGCTGAAAAAAACAAGCTGAAAAGTATGGATTATAAGAGAAGCGAACAGGGCCATCAAATGAACAAGTTGGATTACAAACAGTTAAAATAACATATCTAGTTACAATTACAACATTAGATTTCTGTATTAATAGGGCTTGTTTTTACTGAACCAAAATTCAGCACATGATGCGCAATGCAGGACACAGGATGGTTACTACTAGCTATTCACAATGCATGCATCACAAACCCATGAGTCATGAGCATACCATGACCAACAATGCTCAGTGCATTGTTGTATTTTTGTTTTTCACTGACAGAATGACACCATCTTGCTGAAACAAAGGCAAGCCGTCTTCACCTTTCATTACATCGGAAGGAAGCGTATGCTGGACACAACCCCCCGTTACACATGAATGACTTGTCACACGGTCAGACCATCACTGTAGCTGTAAGAACGGCAAGCAATACGCTAATACTTGGCCACGGACGTCCACCCCATCCGGACGATGTCTTCGTGGGCTTGTGCAGCGGATAGGTCCAACAGGTGTTCTCTTCCCCACTCGCACTCGCGTCTGGCTGTCAGGCGTCGCCGTGCATCCGCGCTGCCGCACTCTGTCTCGCCGCGCACCCTTCCGCACCGCGCGCCCATCGCCCTGCCGCGCCGCACCCCATCACCGGCCGCGCCGTGCCACCACCCCGCGCCTCGTCCCTATCCACCGGTGTGCCCCATCCACCTCGTCCGTCGCGGCCATGGTAGGCACCACGCCACCACCACCTCGGCACCACCAGGAGGAGGTTGCCGCCGGTCTGGACTTCGTCTCCCGCGGCTGGCTGAACACACCACGTCATGAAGGGAAGGCCTGCGTAGCTGGGACGTTTGCTCTCGATGTTCCCCTAGACTTGAGCTTGCTGGCTACCGCAATCCGCCACCAGGTAGGCCATGGCCGCCGGCGACGCTGTGTTTCAAGTGTTTTAGCCGTTTCAGACTTATGTTTTAGCCATTGCAAAAATTGATCTGGGATGTTGCAATGGCAATATACACATGTTGCAAGTCTATGTTTAAGTTTGTTTCAAATGTTTCATCCAGATGTTTCAAA